AGTAAGACTTAGTGTCGTTAAAGTTTCGTTGGAACGAAGTTACGGAAAATCAATTAACAAATGGAGACGTAACAATACGTTTGATTTGTTTTGAATATATTATTTTAAAACAAGTGGATTGTGTACTGTCTGTTTCTTGTTGAAATTCATCTCCAACAAATCACACACACCTATTGTAAAGAATTCGGCCCATACATAAAAACTGACAGTTACAGACTACTGACAGAAATGAAAACCACAACAGTTATGTGACTTAAAAATGATCTATATGGGTACCAAAGTATCTGATCATGCAATCTATGTTTTGGTCAGAAAAAGGCAAACAAATAACAAACACACACCAAATTAAATAACCAAGACCAAACTGTACATAATATTCTATATGAGGCTTAACTAGTGATTTGTATGAAGAGATTATGATCTCATTTGATTTGTGTTGTAATCACTAATCCTATAATATAAATGTTTCTATGAAATTCTGTTAACTTTACTACTAGTAACATAGCAGTGCCTGGACTCTCCTGCTATGCCAGGATATTTTGTTTTGGACGTTTCTATAATCTTAAAAATTGGGTTTCAGTACTAGCAGTTAGTCCAGGACGGATAGACCATTGAACTAGTTGGTGCTTAATAATAAACAAATAGTCACGCTGTTGAGTGTGTTCCCATCTATATTAACTGTATGATCCGAATTATGTTAATCTAGATATATTACCTTGCACTCATTACAGTCAATTTAACTTTAAAGATCATTTGCCAACTATTTGTCCAACTTATCATTTGAGCCAAGTAATTCAAAAGTAGGATCATATTCATAGTGGGTAAGAGAAAAAAAATTGTTTTAAAACAAAGTGTTATTAAGTGCTATTCATATCCCTTCTGCTGTTTGGAATGGAATAACACTTAACCACAATTCATGAGAATTATGATGTCTCTAAGTTTTAATAAAGTTTAAAAAATAAATAACAGAGGGAGATATCTGATAAATACTAACTTAAATTATGTTTCCACTTAGTGTTGTAATGCTAAATCTAGAAATGAGAGGCCACTACGATCTTCCTTCTCTTCCCTTCCCCATCTGACAGAAAAGCTTACCATGAAATTAGTTTTTTAATATGGCTATTGTGTTTAGTAATTATTTAGAAATACAGAAAATAATTTTTTGAGCCTGAGGTATATTATCGTAAAGTGCACTATATGCGATATCAGAGAGCTTTCAGCTAATGGCATATAAAACGTATTGTTGAGTATCTGCTTGTTTGTTAATTTCCGGTAGAAATTCTTTCTGAGAAACTTCAGTGGTACAAGTCCTTTCTTGATTAAACCGGTTTATTATTTCTTGATACAAACTTTTAGTACACAGTAATTCCACTGTCAGTACGTTTCTCGTCAGTTAACAACTTTTATAATACACGCTATAGACCACAGCGATTCACAATCTCGATAACTTCGTCCGAAACTTACCGTGTCTACTGTTCGCTTTATCATACATTCATTTTCGCAGGCTTTCCCTGCCAGGCTTATATACTAAAAAAGAGGGCGTCTCGAACAAACTCGGTCTTCCCCGCTAATTCATAATCATTGAGAAATTCATCACGTGTTACCAGAGTCACGTGACTTCCGCTTTCGTAACAGTACCATATTATACTTTATAGATACAGTTACCGTCCAATTGAAATATTTGTAAATTGATTGTATAAGTATAAGAAAACAACACGGAAAATAATCTGCATTTGATTTCCACTGACCAACCTTGGTTTAGAAATGGAGCACCATTCTTTCTCATTTGGAACATCTGAACTGTACAGTAAGTTTTTTTTTTAAGTTTCCCAGAAGATAACAATAGTTTGATTAAATATTTGCATATCATATGGTTTTCTCGTTGTGTTTCTTTTTCCACTGTCCAGTAGACGTTTCAAATTTGACCTCTCTCGTTGTACCATTTTTATATCCAAAATGGACGTCGTGATGTTATTGTTTATATTTACCCATCCTCGTCTTGGTACCTGCTGTGTGAATTCTATCTCGTATAAATTTAGTAATAATAAAATGAGTGTAATTTCTCCATGACAGTCATCTAACACATCATCTGAAACTATTTTCCATGTTCTTTTGAATGCCTTAATTAACCATTCTCGTCAATTCTTGTTACCATCTTTAGCAACTTATGCCAAGTTAGATGGAGTTAGAGCACATTGTCTCCAAAATTGTAGATTGTCTGAAGCAAAGTAATTGTTTAACTGGTTGAATGATCATACCAAGAGATTATATGCTCCTCTATAGGATTCTTTCACATATAGAATCTTGTGTTTGTTTGTTTAGACAATCTGTAATTTATATGTAGAAAAATGAAGAATCTTTAAAATATGATTATATTTATAGATATTTATACTGCAAAGAGTATTTTTCATAAAGTGATAATAATGTTATTTAACTGCATTTAATAATATTTTTAATTCTTAAAATATTTAAGAGTTTTTATACTACCATGTATCATGTTGCAGTGAACAAGAGTAATTGTGACACACGTTTGTAAAAAATGCTATGATAGGTAATCTTATACATATAGTGTTGCTATTTTATAATTTATATATGTAGTACTACAAATTAACTTTTTTATTTTATTGTATAGCCTGAAGAATGTGATGTGACTATCACCAGGGACAATGAAAACTTCTATCAATTTTCTGTATGTGACAACAGTGTAAGTTTTTTTCTTATTACTACTGTATCCAATGTTAAAGTAATTAGTAAGTTCATTTAGAAAATATAATGTTGTAAAATCATATACAACACTGGAGAAAAAAAAAAGGATTAGTGTTCTAACTTGTGATCTGTAAACTTGCATATTAAAAAAATATACAATAAACACATTTTGAAACTACTAATAACTTGTGTCAAATGTACAATAAATGACATATTTTGATGCTTACTGGTTAAGCTCTAAGAAAAATAATGTGTAACAGTTCTGCTATGAATATAATTGTAAAATAGTCAAATTAGGTGCTTGTTTATACTTAAGTAAATTCTGTATTTATAAAAATATTATTATGTTATAATCACTTGCTAAAACATTCTGATTTCATTTTAAAGGAGGCGTAGCTCATTCTATAGCACAAGTGCCACTTGTTACTTTTACAATGTTGTTAAAAATGATATGTAACTTCTGCAGTACTTGGTTCTGGCACTCCTTATTAGTTATATCATATTCACAACATAAACAGATGCAGGAGAGTACAGTTCTTTACAATTACTATGCTATTGTTTTAACTGTTTTTGCTTTGTTATCTGTTGTTTGTGTTGCTCTACTAAGCAAGCTTCACCTATATATTAACTCACTGTTGCTTGAAGACCTTGATTACTCTTTAAATATTTTTTACAATCTCCAGGAAAACTTGCTTAGATACAGTTGAGTTACATGATGTATTAGTTTGACTATTTATTGTGCCTCTATATTATAAATAATAGTGGTCATATTAATCATTTATTTTTTTTATTCTAGAAAGATAACAGAAATTTTTAACAATGAAATTGCATAGCTCTGACAAGCATTGTAATGAAACTCCATTACACCAAAGAGTACCTCTGAATCATGCTCAGAGTGAATTGTTAATTATAGCATTTATTATAAAGCATGGTTTGTGTGAAGCAGCTTTGTGTGACCTCTTGGCTGTTTTATTAGTACATTTTCCTGATTACATACTTGCATCTAAGTATTTGTTTCATAATAACTTTAAAACTATGTTTTCTTTACTACATTTCTTTTGTAGGAACTTCTTTGCTTATACTACAGGTGAGGAAAAATGCAAAAGTTGTGACACTGTCTTTGATGACAAAAAAAAAGCCATGCAGGAAGGACATTTTTACTATATTCTAATTCAAAATCAATTTTTAGTACTCTTTAGAAATAAAACAATTATGAGATTTGAAAGAGGGGTATGGATTGGGTGGAATAACATAACATTGGACCTTAACTGTGATGGACTACCTTTATTTCATTGATCAAACACAAGTCTATGACCATTGCAAGTTATGATCAATGAACTTCCACTGGAATATTTTACTTGCTGGATTATGGTGGAAATCTAAAAACAAGAATGGATATATTTTTCAAAGCTTTTGTGCAAGAAATGAAAAATTGGGCACAAAAGAGTTATATCTTACTTATCCTGTAAGTAGTACAGTGATAAATTGTAAAGTGTATGCCTTGATGCACTCAGTAGATATTGTAGCTAGGCCAATTTTAAGAAACTGTACTCAGTTCAGTAGTGGTGAATATATATGGCTGTGATTAGTGTCCACACCAAGGAATAATTGTTCCAAAAGGAAATGGATATTCAAGAGTATATTAATTTGAAGGATCTGAACCTTCTAAGAGAATAAATACAGATCATACAAAACATGCAATTGATGCTATGTAAAGTGGATGTCCTGTGTTTGAAGTGAAGTTTTAATGTTTCTACCAATATTTGATATTGAGGGTTTTTTTTTGTCTGATTGCATGCATGCAGTTTTACTGAGCATTTTTGCTTGTTGTTTGATTAAAGTAATCACAAAAGAGAATATTAACTTGGCATAGTTATGAAAAGACATAAATAAAGAATTTTGCCAAATAAAACTTTCATCAGAATTTGCACATTCTCCAAGGTACTTGACTTGAAGAAAGTTTTGCAAAGCTGCTGAACGGAGGTAATTTTGTACTACTCCATTCCTATGCTCAGGTAATTTTTACCTCGTAATTTTTTTAAACTTGTACTTACTAGTGTCATCAATTCACATATTGCATTCTGAAGATACACATTTATCTGATCTCATCTGAGTCAAGTCGAAACTAATCAACATTATTTCAGATTTTGAAACACTATATAGAAGAGACCAGCTGACAATCAATGTTAATCTGTTATTAAATCCAATGACAGGGTTAGAAATTGGGGCCTGGTATGGTATGTGTTTCAGATTTTTCATGTGAAAACAATGGTTTATAAGTACAGCTATTCAGAGGGATACAGTTTTTTCTAAAAAATATGTGAATCTTATTTTCTTCGAAGAAGAATGAGTACTCTTGGGGATAAATTATTATTAAATGATGATTTCTGTGAAAATTTATTTTGAAGCTGATTGGTAACTTGTGATAGTAGAAAACCATATGTCATCAATAGTAATGTAATGAAGCTAGGAAAAAGCTGTCAAAAAAGATTTTACCTCAACCTCATGTATTAGCAATTGAAAATTATTTTGGTCATGAAATAAATAACATGTTTGTTGACTTTTACAAAAGGCTTACATTTGGAAAAGTACTAGTCATTAATTTAAATACACTAGATTATAGATATAGGAAATAAAAAGTCTTCTGCTAGCTTAACCTTTGAAGATTTTTTGACAATAATGTATCAGAAACTTATACATTTACCCACTTAAAACATGCAACTCTCAGTTTTCTAGCATTTTATGTAATTTTCTCTTAAAGGTAGAAACGCTGACTGAGGTTATTGCGATAGATCTTGGTGAACTGGCAGCAAAACGTGGCAGAATAAATTTTGAAAATGAATTTTACATTTGCAAATTTCCCAACAGTGTTAAAACTGACTAGTAAATTTATAAATAGATATTTGGACAGTTAGACTTTAATACTAGTATTTTTGGTTTGTTATAATACCATATTAAGGGTGTTACTAAAATTTATATTATTTAACAAGTAAAATACAAAGTGGAAAATTTTGCCATAAGCATGAGTTAAAATAATTTCAACATCAAAATAACAAATAGGTGCCTTATAGTTTTGAGCAGAAAATATAGATAGATAAGGAAATTTCTTAAAAATGTAATATATTGTTATGACATCGGAAGTCAAGTCACGCTGGTTACACGTGATGAATTTCTAGAAGGATCATGAAGGCTCAAGTGTTTGCCAGATGCGCTCTAGTTTAATATATAAGCCCGGCAAATAAAGTGTAGATAATAATAGCAGACAGGAAGATATAGAGACAGATGATCGAGCCAAGTCATAAGTAAAGTGCATGAATCGTTGTGAATTATAGCGTGTGTTTAAATTAAAGTGACTGTGGAAATTAAGTGTATTGCAAAGTTGTATTGAGAAAGAATAAACTAGTTTTATTTAAGAAAGGACTTGTATCTCTGAACTTCTTCGGAAAGAATTTTTATGGGAAATTAACAAACGACCAGAGATGTAACAATATTATAGTTCAGAAACATAAATTTATTTTGAATTATAAAAAGAATGATGGGCTTGAGAATTAAAAAATGTCAGTGGTAATATTTTAGAAATATTTTATATTTCTACTAATCTCATATTTATTTAAGCTGTCAAAATTAATCATTTTCAATAATCTAATTATTAACTGAATGTACATGCCTGTATTAGAGAAGAACTGTTGACTATAATTCCAAATTGACTATGTATCGACATAAAATGTGGTAAGCTTTCAGCAAATGTACAAAAGAATTTATTTATACACCATATATGTCTGTGAACAGACAACATCAATCTGATTCAGTAGAACAAGATGATGTTCGTGTAGGGTAAATGGGATTCTAGGTTGTATTTACAAAATGTTGACTGCCCTCTACTACATTGCTAAATCATTAAATTCTCTCATCCAGACACCACCTTAAATGCATTTAAATATCCAGCCATCACTGATATGAGTTTCTTAGCTAGTCTTTGTGGCACATTATCAAAAGCTTTTTGAAAATATAAGTAGGGGAAATTCGATGACGAGGAACCCACTTTGAGACTAATAATGGCTGGACCTTGTCGAAACGTTGTACATTTGCTGTCATGTTAAACTTATATTAAAGTTTTTCTTCATTACCCATTTAAGCCGTCTCCAGCCATTATAAGTAGGGGAAATGTTGGTGTATTGGGGCACTTTTAATGATTTTCTAACAGTAACATTTTTTGTAAAAGATTTAGACTAAAGATAAATGTGTTTTGAAGTACTCTATCACACATGCCTATTCAAAATGTTTTTGTTGAATTCCACATTTATAAAGTTGGAGATCTGTCTCAATGCACCACAGGCATGTTTAATTTTGTGAATAAGAAAACACTAAACTGCCTAATATACAAAATCGTCTTTGAAGCATGTTTAGGAACATATTTTTGGGGGAAATAGGGCTATACTGGTCAAAATTAACTTATCAAGTGCACTATGTGAGGAATTAGGTAAACATTATTTCTCCCTTCAGATGCAGACATCTGGTGGCACATAGTCACATATAATTACCATACCATTACATACCTATTACATTAAACACACACACACCTTTATAGATCCATTAGTCTTGCACCAGTTGTGGAAAAAGTTTTGTAAAGTCTGATAAAAGATACTTTGCAAAGTCATTTAACAAAGTTTAGAATTATATTGGATAGTCAGCATGGTTTCACTAAGGGAAAATCTTGCCTTACAAATCTTTTGACATTCTTTGAAACGGTTACTGCTTATGTAGATGAGAGTAAGAGTGTAGATTTGATGTATCTGGATTTTCAGAAAGCATTTGACAAGGTGCCACGTAAAAGGCTTGTAAAAAAATTATCTCTATAGGTGTGGAGGATAAGTTAGCTAATTGGATAGAAGAGTGGCTGGATGGAAGAAAACAGAGGGTTGTTACAAATGGAGTTCACTCAAACTGGATTAATGTCACAAGTGGGGTACTTCAGGGCTCAGTCTTAGGACCTTTGCCCTTTTTTAATTACATCAATGACATAGATGAAGGACTGGTCAATAAATTACTTAAATTTGCAGATGGTAATTAAGGTCTTGGGTGTTGCTAGCTGTGAAGAGGATGCTGCTGATTTACAAAAGGATTTAGATCATTTAGTGAGTTGGGCAAATAAGTGACAAATGGGTTTTAATTATAACAAATGCAAGATAATACATGTAGGTTATCATAATTTGAAATCAGTATAATTTAGCTGTGAATAACCTTAACAGTTTCATGAAAGAAAGGGATTTTGGTGTAATAGCTGATCAGTCTCTAAAGCCATCCAAGCAGTGTGCTGTTTCTAGTGGTATGGCAAATAGGATTTTAGGTTGTATCGACAGAAATACTGAATGCAAATCTAAAGAGGTTACTAATTAGGTGACATATTTAATATTGTATTCAGTCTTGGGCTCCTTACCTTAGGAAAGACATTGAATTGTTGGAAAGGGTTCAAAGAAGGGTTACTAGAATGGTACCTGGGATGGAGGGGTTGTCATGCAAGGATAGGTTGAAATCTCTCAAATTGTTTTCTTCTGAAAAAAGAAGAGTTAGAGGGGGTGGATCTGATTGAGGTGTTTAAGATTGTAAGATTGTCTTAACAGTAAGAATAATAGAACTAGGGGACAGAAATACAAATTTTGGCAGGGTAGGAGTCATCTTCAGATAATACAGTTTTATTTTTCTAACAGGGTGGTTGGCCTTTGGAATGGGTTGCCTTCGAATGTTGTGGAAGCAGTAAAGTTAAGTGAGTTTAAGAGAAAGCTTGACAAGTTTTTGAATGACAAGGGCTAGATTTTTTTTTAACTATTTATTAATAGTTTTGAGTTTAATTTAGAAGATGGAACAGCCGAGATGGACCAGTAGGTCCCTTGATGTTCCAAAATGTTATGTTAGTAATAAGTTTTCTGCTTAAAGTTTGTGCAACCATCTTGGCTAAGCTTAAACTACAGTGTAGATGTAACTCAACGGTCACATGTTATTGTTTGTACAAGGTGTTTATTGTTGTTTGGTATGTAACATAAGATTAATTACTGTAAACATGTTATTCCAACACATGCTGATTTGTGGCATAAAAATACTTGTAATCGCTTGGCAGTTAGAAAATTAGGTTTTTCATTAGTAGTTCTGTTATTAGCATTACTTATACACACAATTCAATGTAGGTGGCAATCTACTGATGCCTGATTGGACTTGGTGCTCAGCATAGGAATGTCACCTGTCCAGAGTTTATGAATTGTCTTGTGTAACTTCCCTTTCTGTGCTAATAAACAACTGAGACCTTTGTTCTTATTGATTTACATCAATCACATAAACGAAGGAATGGACAATAAATTATTTAAATTTGCTGTTATGTCAAGGTCTTGAATTTTTCTGGCTGTGAAAAGGATGCTGCTGCTTTACAAAAGGATTTAGATTGTTTGTTGAGTTGGGCAATTAACTGAAAGATGGCTTTTTATTATCATAAATGCAAGGTAATGCTTGTGGGATATCACAGTTTGAATTATGATAATAATTGTTATTGGAATAACCGTAACAGTGTTATGGAAGAAAAGGATCTTAGTGTTCTGGTTCATCAGTGTCTTAAGTCATCCAAGCAGTGTGCTGTTGCTAGTGGTAGGAAAAATAGGAGTTTAGCTTTTTCTACAAAATATTGAATACAACTCTAAAGAGGTTATACTTTCATCTTATAAGTCATTGGTTATGCCATATTTGGACTATTATGTTCAGTTTTGGGCTCCTTACCTTAGGAAAGACATTGATTTTTTGAAAAGATGGCATGTTGCAGTCTTTGGAATTCTTTTCTCTTGAGTAAAGAAGAGTTAAGAGGGATCTGAGTGAGGTTTTTCAAGATTGTTAAGGGAATTGATAGTTTTGATGCGTCATCTATTTTTGTACTTAATGGTGAGAATGGTAAGACTAGGGGAGAAAATATAAATTTTGGCAGGGAAGAAGTCATCTTCAGCTAGAGCAGCTTTATTTTTCTAACAAACATAAATTTTGGCAGGGTGGTAGGAGTCAACTTTGACAGTTTAATATTTCTAACAGAATAGCCTCAGATGTGATGGATGAACTAAATTTAATGGAGTTTTAGGGAAGGCTTGAAAAATACTTGAATGAAAAGGATTAGCTCTGAGTTTTTGTTTTTTAAGGATGAGATAGCCTAGATGGACCGTTAGGTCCATTGTTGCCCTTAAACTTTGTTATCCTATGGACTAGAAACTACTGGCAATTACTGTTTGCTAATGGTTTGCTGGTAATTACTGATTTTTATTGTGATGTGTACACTCAGTAACAACAACTGAAACCTAGTGTTTAAGAAATTTTATTCATAATTTTGGTATATGTAAATACAAATCTGCATTCATATACACAATAGTTAATCAGTACCGTTTTATATATGTCTGTTTTATTTTATATTAATTGTCAACTGCTTTAAATATTTTTAAATGTTAATTTTTTTCACTTATGTCTTTTCCTTATTTTCTACATCTCTGTTCAATTTCTGGCAAGGTTACACCTTGTTCTAACAGCCAGGACCCATCAGAAAAATTCTGGACCCTAGTGCTACTCCAGCCCTTCCCCACCCACATGCCTCTTACTGTCCAAAGTTTTGGTACAGTTTTTCTCTCTTTCAAAGTTTACTTTTCCAAATATAATCCTACTGTTTTTACCTGTGCCCCTTTCTCTCCCCACTTTCATCACTATCTCACCACTACTGCTAGCATCATTACCACCACCACTAACCTCATCTTCAATCCCTTTTATCATTACCAACCTTTCTCTCATCGTTCTTTTTCTTTGGACTTTTTGCACAGCAATGGAAATCTAAAGTATGTTTTTACTAGCAACTTTATTCAAAAAACAAAATGATGCAAGATAAAAAAAGTCATTTAATGGTAAATTAATATGAAACCTTTATGAGCTTTCTTTACAGCAAAAGAGTCTATATCAAAATCAACTTGTTTTACAGTTTAAATACCAGTAAGCTGTAGAACTTGACACTGAAAAAAGAGCTTAGGTCAATCAGTTTTTTGGAGCCTGTGATGCATGATGCAATATTTTCTTCAATTATCATCAGGTACGATGAAAAGCACAATCTTTTTTATCAGGTCTTAAATACTATTAAAGTGTGTGTGTGACTCTCTTTCTCTATATTTCTTTTCCTTTTCTTTTTCCTTCCTTCCTTCTCTTGCCTTCCTGGGTCCCCTCTTGGTCCATGGTGCTTTGGCACTAAAACCACCCATCCTTTGTGGATCCTGCTAATAGCCACCAGCAAAAGCATCCTGCATGAGATAAATTCAAATAAACTTTAGATAAACAGTACTCTAAATAACTGTTTGACAAAATGAATATTTTATGCCTTGAAATAAACTGCATTGCTGAAAATGAAAACTTGCATATTTTAATGTTTTAATGACTTGTCATCCAACACCTGAGATTTTAGTACTGTTTTACTCTGTTTACTAGATGCTTGTATCTCTTATTTCAATAATTGTAAGGTAAAATATGTGTTTGTTTTATATGAACATCTCTAGGAAACCAGGAAGTATTAATTTTTTTTCTTTTAGTTTCAGAAACCTCTTCTTCTGCTGAACAGAGTATGCTTGTTTCCAATAAACAGACATTTAGAATATGTAAGTTACTCTCTTTTTTGCTAACATTTCTTGTACCTTTTCATAAGTGTCTACAACATAAGAGAAAATATACAATTGCAATAGCAGTAACATACAGCAAAATTAATGGAACATCTTTGTGATTTTCATTTAAAGAATATTCAGTAGCTGAAATTTTCTGTTATAATTCTTTAAGAATAGAGAAGATGTTGGAAAGTCAAGCTGTTATACTGCTATAAATTTTTGAATATTATTTAGCATAAATATTATTTGTAGTAATTTGAGTTAAATAACAAAAAGAATAAATAGATTTAGTAAGATTATTTAATAAAATTAGTAGGCTTAAAGTTTTAAGTAAGAGCTTAGTTGTGTAACCAGTACTATAACATTAGATTAAGCTTAGGACGTATAATGGTACTTTACGCTTAGTTATAATTCAACTTACTGGTAAATTGTGAAACAGATTAAATACGCTGTTTTATTAAACAAATACAACATAAAGACTAGTTAGTTGTATCTTCATGTTTTAAGGATTAACTTATTTATTTGACTTTAGTTCCATTAGTTTAAATTAGTTCCATTATAAGTAATAGGTAGGTTATAAATCAGGCTAAATTATTCTTAGTAAAATACATTGTATTATTGATATTGCATAAGCATCAAATATAGTAAAGACTAGTTTAGTAGTTATTTATCACATCTATAAAATTAAAGATAAGCTTAATTACTTTAGTGTGAACATAAAGTAGTGATAAAAACTAATTTATTTTATTATCAAATGTTAGGCTTAAAAATGTTGGCAATAGGCTACTGGTATTTAATATTGAGTATTTATTTCCAGGCTACAAATACAATGGTTAAGACTAGTGTAGGAGTTAAGCATTCACAGTTTGTTAGGTGTGATGGGTGCAATGAGTTGGTTTTACTTGGGAACTTGAGACTGGTTTGTACATTTAAGGAAGCTAGTAGTGAAGATGTGCAATTTGTATGTGGAGTTTGTAGATTGGAGGAGAAGTTGGAGGCTATCCTAATTAAAGTAGAGGAGATAGATAAAGAGAAGTGTAGATGGTGGAAAATGGCAGCAGGATTTAAAGAGGAGCTTAAACTTTTACATGCAAGGGATACATCAGCTAACAATGACTTTCAGAAAATTATAATTCACTACTTTATTAGGGCTAAAATAGTGAATTTAATTGTAATTAGCCTATTCTATTGAGCAACAGAGTTCAGCCCTGTTGTGTAGATGAAGACTATTGGAGGGAAGGAAAATGAAATGGTCAGAGAAGAAGGTGAGTGATAAACTTAAGGTGGTGATAGTTATAGATGATTCCTCAACAAGGCATGTGGATAGAATAGTCTGTGGGATAAATAGGGAGAAAAGAATTAGATTATGTTACCTAGGAGCACAAGTGTAGGATATAATTGACAGTGCAAGAGATATAATAAAGGGGGCTAGCAATGATGCAGTTTTTTTGTGCACATAGGGGCAAATGATGTAGGGAAAGATAGGTCAGAGGAGCTAATTAAGGGGTTGATAAAGACATTTTAACAAAAAGGCCATAACTTAATTGTGTCAGGGATACTGCTGAGAATTAACTGTGGGGATGAAATTATGAGTATGTTATTAGGGCTAAATGCTAGGATTAGATTAATATGTAAGGATAAAAAGATTGGCTAATTGGACTTGTGGGATCAGTTCAATTTGAGATAGAAGCTTTTTGGAATGGATTGTTTACATTTCAATATAGTAGGGTCTGGCTTGTTTGCAAGGAATAACTTAGCTGTAAGGGAAGTTTTAAACTAGGAC